TGTGTGTGTGTGTGTGTGTGTTTGTGAGAGAGAGAGAGAGGGAGAGAGAGAGAGAGAGAGAGAGAGATGAGTGGTTTAAACAAGTTACCTGTACAGGAAGAGCAACACCAAGATAAGTTTTAATGTCAAGTACTATACTTGGGTTCCCATCCCATTGCATCTCTAACTCCATGGTAATTCCTTCACTGTCATCTTCAATGATTGAAACTCCTGAAGTACCATAAAACTAATAAGTGGATGTGACATTATGACTGAAGATACTGTTGTGCTAACAGTAACAAGTTTGACCATCTAGCTGAGTCAAAGCATACAATCAATATTTATATATATGGTATAAACAGGAAGAAGAGTGATGTACTAACTACATGAGCCACTGCCAACACTTCAAAATCTATAATTTGGAGCATAAAGGAAACTAGGAAAACGGAACACTCAACAGCTCCGATACCAGTGAGTGATTAAACTGGCCTACAACTCATGCACTCAAAAATGATTGGCTCTGCAATCAGAAATAAACTAAGATACCACTGGCAGTGGTTTCATGAGAAAATATTAATCTTTGATTTATGTACTGGCAATGCAATAAAGACTGATTCATTAGAAAGAATTTGTCAAGCTTACTTCAGAAACCACCAAAGAATTCGACTAAGGTAAATTAATCTATACTTTGGCCCTTATAAGGTAAATTAATCATGGGCTTCCCGCACCTCTTGCTCTTATGACCTAGTCAACATTTTATATCCAATAAAATCCTGCAGTTTGATTCAATAAGAATCTCCCATTTCAAATTGTCAAGGCACTAACATGACAGTTGAATTGCAATTATTCTCATTCGTTTGAACCAAGATTCCATGAACTGTCCCAAAGCTGCCTCACACTGTTTTACTTCTTGGAACAATAGCATACACTAATCCTCGGGGAAGATAATGAAAATGAACAGAATATGTTTCAATGTGGTCAGTGAGTAATTCATGGCTGACTGGCTGTAAAGTCGAGGACAATCTTTGTATTATAATAAGCTGCCTACTAAGTAAATCTGTAAATTTCAGACCGTCCAAGCCGTGGAAAATATATTATCAACTTCTTATTAGCTTATAAGCAATTATAATTTATCTACTTTGTACAAGAGCAAAACAAAGAAATGAGATAAAAATAACCAAAGTGGGTGTTAAAGTAGGTTTTATATATGAACACAAGCCATACACACACCTGTGAACTGCGGAGCTACAGTCCCAAGAGTAAACTTCGAAAAAGTCAGAGAAGCCAATATAACGGGCCTATATTGCTCTAAAACGGGCTCAACGTTCGCCTTTATAAGCTCAGACGCAGCCTTCAAATCTCAACACCATCAAACCTTAAAGTTAACTCGAAGCTCCAAAAAGACAAGGGAAAGAAAAACGTATAAAATAGCAACGAATTACCTCATTGACGTACGGCCAAATCTTTTCGAGCTGCAGATTGAGCCAAGTCAACTGAATTTCAAAGGAAGAAGAAAAAGACAAGAAAATAAAACAGATCAGTCGCAGGAAACTACATAATTGAACAAGAAGTACCTGAAAATAAATAAAAAGAAAACCTTCTGGCGCTGCGAAAAGACAACCCAAGAAGGATAATACTCCGGCGACAGTAACTTCCTCGAATCTTCCACCGTCATTCTCGCAAACGACGCAACCGTAGTAGCCTTCCGGCATTTTAAANNAAAAAAAAAAAAAAAAGCAGGAAAGGAGAAGTAGCAATTAAAATCAGGCGCTTGGTTGAATACGAACTCAAATTAACACTTAGATTCAGTGAAAAGAACTTACGAGGTCGGAGCGGCGCTTGGATCGGGCGTTCTCGGAGCGAACAAAAGCAACAACCAGAAGCAGGCCGACAACTAATCCGACCATTAATCCAGCCACAAAAGCCATTCGGTATGCAGCTTTCCGATTAATCGGAGGTCGAACTTGAAATGAGCCCCTTTTTGCTAATCTTTGCAGCAAATATACATAGAAAAGGGAAGAAGGCGGAGGATAGAGATCCTCGATCGAACAGTGGCGAATGGAAGCAAACGACTACAGTCTACATACCTGTTAAAAAAGATAAAAGGAAAAACGAATGGTATACTAAAGGCTTAAGACGGCTTGACTAGGCGTTGACTAGGCATGCATATTTCGGTTCGGTTCGATTTGGTTCGATTCGGTTCGGGTGGGACCGAATGTGCACCTTAACCAAAAATTCGATTTGTCCAGTATTACAACTGAAAACCGAACCAAAATTTACGGTTCGGTTCGGTTTCAAACCGAAAATCTATAGGTTTTATTGGTTTGTTTATCGGTTATCCAAGAAAATAGAGAAATGACTAAAAAAAAATCTACAATTCGTGATTTACGGCCCCATACGAGGAGATTTGGGTGACGAACTCATTTTGAGAAGACAATCGTCGTCGTCGAGGGACGACCTGCCAGGTGGAGCGTGTGGTGTGCTTATTATACAACTCGTTTTCTACTTTTGTTTACTCGGTTTTCCATTTTCGTTTAGGACTTATGAAGTATTTTGAGAATTGGGTCGGGTCACTGCGTGAGGGCGACTAAAGTATGTATGGGAGAATGAAGATGAGTAGATGACATATCACATATGAGTAGGGATTGGATTTGGGCCAACTTCGTGGTGGACTTAGTGGTGGGTGGGCCATGGGTGGCACTGGCCTTGGGCCTGTGGGTATCGAATAATATATCATTGGACCTTTACGACATACATGTATAATATTAGGAGCTTTTCAATACAAGGCCTGAAAGATGGGTAATTATCAATTCGAAGCCTGAAAGTTTTTTTTTCTCAATTTGAGACCTAAATGTTATAAAACGACTAAAATTAAGTCCTAGAATTAACAAAATTCATAACACTATTAAACTGAGAGTTAATTTGAAGTTTTGAAACACCAAATCTGTTACAAAGTAAAAAAAAAATAAAAAAATAAAAAAATAATAATAATAAAATAAGGAAAATACGAGATCGTTGGAGAAAATTACCGAAAGTATGAAGCTCTTGCTCGGTTTTCTTGCTATCGTCCATTTCTTTTCTCTATCTTTTTTAATATTATGTAAATGTTTACTTATTATTTTATATGAGTAAGCACCAATCTATTATTTTTCTTCAAATTTGATGTTTTAAAACTTCAAATAAACTCTCAATTTAATGGTGTTATGAGTTTTGTTAATTCTAGGACTTAATTTGATAGTTTTAGAACAGGTCCCGAATTGAGAAAAAAAAATCTTTTAGGCCTCGAATGATAGTTTACCTATCTTTCAGGCCTTGTATTAAAAAAACTCCATAATATTAGTTTTCGGTCCAATTCGGTAAACGAGAGATTATATCCAAACCGAACAAAAAGCTGAAATATTAAGAAAATGTAAACTGAAAACTGAACCAAAATATTTGGTTTTATTTCGGTCGAAATCGAATTTTCGGTTTCAGTCGGTTAACCATATTTTGTGCACCCCTAGTCTTGTTGGCTATAATTAGAGGTTTGACTCGGAGCATGACTTTTTTTGTTCACCGTCAAACTTTCTTTACTAAAACTCGTATATTTATTGAGGCTCTCGTTTTGAGAGTTTTTTCTCTAGATTGAGAGTTTTGATCTCTTCGTGTAGGAGCTTCTTCCCCTTCTGCGTGTGGGTAAAGGGTTCTTTCAGTTTGCAAGGGTTTTGGGTTGGGTTTCTTTGGGTGTGGCTTGTGTCGGTTTCAGAGAATTGTGTCTCAGTTCATTGTCTGCTTGCTGTATTCTCTAAGGTGCAGCTTTGGGCTAGGAATGCAATGGGGGACAAGAACATCTCAGGCATGGAAACTATGACCTTGGAGGAGGAACTAGGACAGAGGTTGGGTAAAGTCTCGATCTCGGAGGCAAAAAACCTAGTAATATATATTGAGGAGAAGGACGTTTGTGTGAGTGAAGAAGAATGCCAAATAAGCTTGTTTGGGAAGGTGATTGGAAACAGAAAGGCGAATTGGGTGGGAATTTACGCACGATGGGAATTATTTGGGAAATAGGGCACCAATTTGAGGTAAGAGAACTCAGCTTCATATTCTTCCAATTCATTTTTCGAAATAAAGAGGATATGGAAAAAGTTCTGTCAGGAAGGAATTGGGTTTTTGATAATCAAAATAGCTCACATCAGTACTTTGAGGAGTTGGCCATATGGGTTCAGGCACATAATGTCCCCTTAAATTGTCTTTGTATTAAGGTATGATTAAAGATGGGGAGAGTGTTCCAAGGAGTTCAAAATGTCAACTTGGCTAAGGTAGGGTTCGGATTTTAAAATCAGAAACCGAAAAACCGGACCGGAACGAACCGAATTTAACCGGTTCGGTCCGGTTATTTGCTAAAAAATGCAACTTTTTCTCGGTTCGGTTCTTCATGCTAGAAATCGATTCCCGGTTTTCGGTTATTGAACAAAGTGCTTACACTTAACCGAGGAACGGGTAAATTGTATACATTTAATACATATATATTATATAAGTTGGCGCCTAGCCCAATTTGGTATTGATAGTTGAAACTTGAGCCCACTAACACACACAAAGTCCAATTCCATTTCCAGTTTTCCACTGCCCTGTTGACATCCGGATCGGCCTGGTCAAATCTAGACGGGCCGGTCTAGTGAACCGGGTAGAGCCAAACTTCTGGACGGGGACCACGCCGATTAAGAGCATAGGTGCCGAGCTGAGTCGAGAAATTATATACAGCCGGGGTTAACGGGGATGCTTCCCGAGCCCGGCACCCTTCTCAGTAGGGTGTCGGGCCGGTCTCGTCAAAGTGCCATTCTGATAGAAGACTCCCAAGAGTCGTGTGAACCTTCTGGGAAAAGCTGCCGATCAAGTAATTCAGAACTGCCCCGTCGGAAGATAGGAACCGATCTCGATGTCACCGAAGTACTCACCACTTGGAAGACCATCATTGAGCGATGGGACAGGCTGTCATAGCCTGCCACCCTACCAGCAAGCCTAG